CATAATGCAGAGAATGTGTAAAAATAAAAACCATCTGTCTTTAGAACTATTTTCAGTATGTTGTATTTTGCCAATTCCTTCAACGCTGGACTCCAGAAGAACATCTAAATACACAGGCAAAGGATTTGTGTTTTTGTCCATCCAGTGCCAGGACAGTGCAGAGAGAAGCAGCAGATGAACCATGCCATTCTGCTCTCTTCTATTATCAGCATATTTCTTATCACAAAAGCTTGGCTCCTTGTGCTGGTTCTCTCTCTCCCAGATTGAGCTCTGCTGTACAGAGACTGCAAAAAAAAGAATTTAAGTTTGCCCAAATAGTAGAGTACTTCTTGCCACCTTCCGCCCCTCCACTTCTCCGCTAACATCAGCGTTGTATGTAATCAACAGTGATGTTTGCCTCAGTGGCCATCTAGGCTTGGCCATTCAATATGCATCCAGCAGCCATGTGTTTTGTGAATGGATGAGTGGAGACACAACACCAGTACTAAATGTAATGCAATGCTGATATCGGAGATGGGGGGGGGGGGGGATTTGTAGGGGTGGGGGGGTAGAGGGAGCCCTACTATGCCAGCAAAATAAAACAACTATGTACCTGGTTGGCCACAGGGTGGCAATGCAGAAGAACAACTGGGAGCCAGAGAAAGAACATTGTCGCTAGAAGTGTCAGAACAGTGACCCTCATAGGATGATCACCAGGTGTTATATTAAATCTAAAGTGCAAAACTGCAAACTGTAAAAGTCCTGCGTAACAAGGTAATGGAACTTTATAAAGATGGAAAAGGACATAAAAAGACGTCCAAAGCCTTGAACATACCAATCAGTACTGTTCCATCTTTATAAAGTTCCATTACCTTGTTACGCAGGACTTTTGACAGTTCTTTTCGGATGCCCATGGCTCAGTATCTAGCCTAGTCAGTGCTTCCATGTAAGAGCTAACAAACTCATTGACTATTTATACACTGACACTAATTGCAATTTAACCCCTTCCAGTCCGGACACTTTTACCCCCTTCCTGACCAGGGCAATTTTCAGCTTTCAGTGCTATCACACTTTGAATGACAATTGCGCGGTCATGCAACACTGTACCCAAATGAATTTTTTTACCATTTTTTTGAGACAGATAAAGCTTTATTTTGGTGGTATTTATTCACCACTGGGATTTTTATTTTTTTTGCTATGTAAATGAAAAAGTCCAAAAATTTTGAAAAAAGTGTTTTTTTATAAAATTTTGCAAATTAATAATATTTCATCATAAATCTTTGCCAAAATTTATTCTGTTATCTTTTTAGTGAAAAAAAAATCCAAATTAGTTTATAACCAAAAATTATAATTTTTAAACATTTTTTTTTACATTTTTATTCTATTTTTTTATATTATTTTTTTTTTACATGCTGTCACCCTAGCAGTACAGTGTCACCATGGTGACACTGTACTACTTGTGGGGGGAAATGAAGATTTTTTTTTTTTTTTTTTACACTGATTGCTTTTACACCCATATAGGATGTAAAAGCAATCATTTCTCTTTCTCTCTGTGTGCATTCTTGCAGTCATTGAGAAGTACTGAGTGAGCTGTGATTGGTCACAGCTTGTCACATGGTACAAGCCTGTTGTGAATAGACTTGTACCATGTGACCTCTGTGATCATTCACAGATTTCACACGTAGTAAGCAATGATGTCACAAGTGACATCTTGCTTCCTACTCTGCATGTGATCACTGATTGGCCAATCAGTGATCACATGATCGGGACCTCGTACAGAGGTCCCGTCCGACGATCGGTGTTTCACTGTGTCCGGAGGACACAGCGGGCACCGGATCGCGGTGCTGCGCGCTCCCAGAGAGCGCGCACAAGCAGGGTGCGGGGAGGCCATTTATAAACGGCCACCCGACCCTGCAGTGCCACCGTCCGGCCGTTTATATATGCAACGGCCGGTCGAGAAGTGGTTGAAAAGCCGCAGATGTGGGACATTAACCTCTAATTGGCAATCTACCACACCATGTGTGTCTGTACCAAGGCCAAACATTCCAGGGGAGGGAAACTTTTGATCCGGGCCATTTGGGGGATTTCTGTTATTATGATTTAACCACTTGCCGACCGCGCATAGCCGAATGACGGCTTCACCGCGGCCGGCCAGTTCTGAGTGAACGTCATATGACGTCCTCCCAGAACGCGCTCTCCTGCGCGCCCCAGGGGGCGCGCACCCGGCGATCTCCGTGATCGCTGTGTCCTACGGACACAGCTGATCACGAGATGTGGTGAAAGGCCGATCCCACCGGCCTTTTACCACGTGATCAGCGGTGTCCAATGACACGCTGATCACAGGAAAATGCAAGTGCCGGTTCTCGGCTGCACTTTCCTCACGCTGTCAGATCGTGAGGAAAGTACTGCCGAGAACCGGCAGTTGTCAGAGCGGGGATCGGCACCGATCATCAGGGCACTGATGATCAGTGCCCTGATGATCGGTGCCCAGCAGTGACCCCCGCAAGTTCCGATCAGCTGTGCGCCCACTAGCCCCGCCCACCCATTCCCAGCGGTGCCCCCACCTGTGCCCAGCAGTGCCCCCACCTGTGCCCTGCAGTGCCACTTACCTGTGCCCAGCAGTGCCACTTACCTGTGCCCAGCAGTGCCACCCACATGTGCCCACCCACCTGTGCCCACCAGCGCCACCCACCAGTGCTGTCCACCAGTGCCACCCACCAGTGCCACCCACCAGTGCTGCCAGTCAGTGCCACCAGTCAGTGCCCAGGGGTTGTGCCAGTCAGTGCCGCCAGTCAGTGCCCAGAAGTGATGCCAGTCAGTGCCGTCTATCAGTACCCATCATCAGTGTCACCTATCAGTGCCGCCTATCTGTGCTGCATATCAGTGCCGCCTATCCGTGACCCCTAATTAGTGCTGTCTATCAGTGCCGCCTATCCGTGCCACCTCATTAGTACTGCCTATCAGTGCCCTTTAGTGCTGCCTATCAGTGCCCATCAGTGCCGCCTATCAGTGCCCATCAGTGCCGCCTCATCAACGCAAATCAGTGAAGGAGAAAAAATACCTGTTTGAAAAATTTTATAAAAGAAACAAATAAACTTTTTTTTTTTTTTTTCAAATTTTTTGCACTTTTTTTAATTTATAGCGCAAAAAGTAAAGCGCCCAGTGGCGATTAAATACCACCAAAAGAAAGCTCTATTTGTGAGAAAAAAATGATCAAAATTTCATATGGGTACAATGTTGCATGACCGCGCAATTGTCAATCAAAGTGCGGCAGCGCTGAAAGCTGAAAATTGGCCTGGTAAGGAAGGGGGTATAAGTGCCTGGTAGGCAAGTGGTTAAAAAGGAACCAAACAACTATTTGATAATAAATGGCTTCATATGATCACCATCTTCAATAAAAGAGCATTTTTTGGCATGATCAGTCATATTTTCAATATCAATGCCAAAATGTCACAATTTCTGCCAGGGTATGCAATTTGAGCACAACTGTATAACTTGCAGCTAGGGAGAAGTGTGAGGGACCTGTGATGACCAGCAGACAGATCTGCATGCAGATATCTCCAACTACGGGACAGGTCAGCATGGACTTAATCATATCTTTGCACCATCCCGGTCAAGAGATGCCGCCGTCTCACTTACCCCACAAAGCAGCAGAAGCAGCACAGCAGGAGATTCATGAGGCCGATCTCGTGGGTGATGTTAGTGGTGATTGGCTGCTGGCAGTGCGGGCACACTGTCTGTACTGGAGAACTCTGGAACATCTCGCCTTGCAGTACGGTCACCGAGGTGGTGGTGGCAGAAGCAGCACTGGCTCCAGGTGGCATAATGACAGTGGTGGTGGCGTGTGCACCAGGGGACGGGAATTGGGGTGGATACTGTCCAGCCGTAGGTGGGTAGTAGCCCATAGGTCCATAGGGTCCAGGAGGAGGGTAATAACCTTGGGAAGAGACACAAGGATCAAACAATATTGATCAAAGCACAAAGTGAGGGGATAAAGCGGTATTAACGGTTTACTAAACCCACAACAGTACAATCAGTCTGTATATGCAGGAAAGCATGCTTGTTATACTCACTGTGGGACCTAAGGGGTTAATCCTCTGCACTGTGTAAAAAGGCTGTTTGATCCTGTCTTCTCTGATCCTCCCCTTCTACTGTCCCCAATCCATCTGTTGATAGTATAGAGCTCTAGGAGTCCCTCTGCACATGCTCAGTGTGTATGGCTAGAGATTTTTTTTTTTCTTTGGGAGAGTGCATGTGATCAGCATAGGGCCAATTAGCACTGTCCAGACAGAAGGTCGGGTTATGCAGCCTCATAGGACAGTCAGAGCAGAATGAAAACTCTTCCTACAAGCCTTAACCAGTGCTCAGCGGGACACTGATAAAAGCTTACCAGTTTATATTTATAGAGTTTATGTTTACTAAAATAATTGAATTTCCATGTTGTGTGTACTGTGGGAGACCAAATATAGTGAATGCAGGGTCCGGGGAGAGCGGATATAGTGAATGCAGGGTCCGGGGAGAGCGGATATAGTGAATGCAGGGTCCGGGGAGAGCGGATATAGTGAATGCAGGGTCCGGGGAGACCAAATATAGTGAATGCAGGGTCCGGGGAGAGCGGATATAGTAAATGCAGGGTCCGGGGAGAGCGGATATAGTGAATGCAGGGTCCGGGGAGAGCGGTTATAGTGAATGCAGGGTCCGGGGAGAGCGGATATAGTGAATGCAGGGTCCGGGGAGAGCGGATATAGTGAATGCAGGGTCCGGGGAGAGCGGATATAGTGAATGCAGGGTCCGGGGAGAGCGGATATAGTGAATGCAGGGTCCGGGGGAGAGCGGATATAGTGAATGCAGGGTCCGGGGAGAGCGGATATAGTGAATGCAGGGTCCGGGGGAGAGCGGATATAGTGAATGCAGGGTCCGGGGAGAGCGGATATAGTGAATGCAGGGTCCGGGGAGAGCGGATATAGTGAATGCAGGGTCCGGGGAGAGCGGATATAGTGAATGCAGGGTCCGGGGAGAGCGGATATAGTGAATGCAGGGTCCGGGGAGAGCGGATATAGTGAATGCAGGGTCCGGGGAGAGCGGATATAGTGAATGCAGGGTCCGGGGGAGAGCGGATATAGTGAATGCAGGGTCCGGGGGAGAGCGGATATAGTGAATGCAGGGTCCGGGGAGAGCGGATATAGTGAATGCAGGGTCCGGGGAGAGCGGATATAGTGAATGCAGGGTCCGGGGAGAGCGGATATAGTGAATGCAGGGTCCGGGGAGAGCGGATATAGTGAATGCAGGGTCCGGGGAGAGCGGATATAGTGAATGCAGGGTCCGGGGAGAGCGGATATAGTGAATGCAGGGTCCGGGGAGAGCGGATATAGTGAATGCAGGGTCCGGGGAGAGCGGATATAGTGAATGCAGGGTCCGGGGAGAGCGGATATAGTGAATGCAGGGTCCGGGGAGAGCGGATATAGTGAATGCGGGGTCCGGGGGAGAGCGGATATAGTGAATGCGGGGTCCGGGGAGAGCGGATATAGTGAATGCGGGGTCCGGGGAGAGCGGATATAGTGAATGCGGGGTCCGGGGAGAGCGGATATAGTGAATGCGGGGTCCGGGGGAGACCAGATATAGTGAATGCGGGGTCCGGGGAGAGCGGATATAGTGAATGCGGGGTCCGGGGGGAGAGAGCGGATATAGTGAATGCAGGGTCCGGGGAGAGCGGATATAGTGAATGTAGGGTCCTGGGTTTAGTAATTTAAACCCCAAACCAAAAATGTAATATACTGCAACCAACCAATCATTATATATATGGTGGCTGCATTAGTTTTCTTTTTTTGTTTTAGGCCTTTTCCCTCTGTTTTCACCTGGTGATCTTGCTAGTAACACACCTTCTATAATAGAGTGCCTCCACTCTGCATGAAGGAGCACAGGGGGCAGATTTGGACAGCAACATTGTCCCTCTGGGGGGAGGGGAGTGTTAGACTAGCAGATTGAAATACACTACTTGTACTGCTGTCTTGTTTCCTTGCGATCCCGGTACAGTATGGTAGCTGAGCCTTGCCCCACGGGACAGGAAGTATGTTACCAGCAGCATCACCGTGTGAAAGTAAATGAAAAAGCCTGAAAAAATAAAACTAATGCAGCAATCTTGTCTAAGAACTGGTAAGCTGCAATAAATTACATTCTTGTTTTTGGGTTTGGATTTCCTTTGAAGCCACTGGATAACCATGGCAGCCAGCATTTTTCAGTGGCCAGTAATGACAGCCTTCTTAACCAGATTTCCTTCATCTCAGTCCGCAGTCCTGTGTGTCAATAGCAACAATCAGTAATGTATACATAGAAGACAGAGGAGAAACAGCAGAGAGGTTTATTTCTCAGACTTGAGTTTGGAGGAAGAAGGATTTCTGTAGTGAAATGAATTCTGTGGCGGAAGGGATCACCCTAAATGACTCCGCAATATTTGTATCTGCTGATTTAATGGATTCGGATGCTTCTCATTAACCGTCATGTCATTCAGATTATACAAAGTACATTATCCGCCTTGTTTTCCCATTAACTGAGCTCTCTCTGAACAGAGGATGTGGTACATTACATTTGTTTTTCATCTTTGTTGAGATCGGCGAGCATTAAATGTGGAAAGCCACAGCGGTGATATTTAATGACCATTACTGTCCAATGCAATGAGATCACAGCTGGCTGAACAGGTTCTGTACACTGCAGATGTAGGTATGGTATATCAGCAGCTCAGTCTTTCCAGTGTGGCCCCAGTCTGTGGTGCAATCTCTCCATTCAGGGCTCCAGTTAGTTTCATTTCCAGTGTGGCCCCAGTCTGTGATGTAATCACTCTATATAGGGCTCCAATCAGCTTCATTTCCAGTGTGGCCCCATTCTGGGGTGCAATCTCTCCATTCAGGGCTTCAGTTAGTTTAATTTCCAGTGTGGCCCCAGTCTGTGATGCAATCACTCTATATAGGGCTCCAATCAGCTTCATTTCCAGTGTGGCCCCATTCTGTGGTGCAATCTCTCTATACAGGGCTCCAATCAGCTTAATCTCCAGTGTGGCCCCAGTCTGGGGTGCAATCTCTCCATTCAGGGTCCAGTTAGTTTCATTTCCAGTGTGGCCCCAGTCTGTGATGCAATCACTCTATATAGGGCTCCAATCAGCTTAATTTCCAGTGTGGCCCCAGTCTATGATGCAGTTTCTCCATATAGGGCTCCAATCATCTTCAATTCCAGTGTGGCCCCAGTCTGTGTTGCAATATCTTCTATATAGGGCTCCAATCAGCTTAATCTCCAGTGTGGCCCCAGTCTGTGGTGCAATCTCTCCATTCAGGGCTCCCGTTAGTTTCATTTCCAGTAGTGTGGCCCCAGTCTATGATGCAGTCTCTCCATATAGGGGTCCAATCAGCTTAATTTCTAGTGTAGCCCCAGTCTGTGGTGCAATCTCTTGACATAGGGGGCAATACACCGTATCAAGAACTAAAAGGGATGCAGACATTTGAACAGGGTCATTTCATTTGTTTAAGGAATTAAATAAAAGTGTTTTGCCTGCTCACTCGGGTTTTCTTTAAAAATGGTACATAATACTTCCAATTCTCCAAGGGGATGCAAATTTTTGAGCATAACTAAGTATATTTACTAATCATTTTCCTATAGTTTTTTTTTTTTTTTTTTGTAAATGGTCATGTTGCCATGTATTTTGGAGCAAGATTTGAAGTGGACTTGCATTTTACTGCAAATTCCACTTGGCATGACACTGGTGAGCAGTGGGCTGTGTTAATGAGGAAGTACCCCACTGCATGAAGACACCTGTTAAATCATTACCAAGCAGAATGACAACCAAAATCCTACAGAGTACCTTCTTTGTGCTGGTCAGTAACTGTGGAGGAAACTGTTAACAACACCCTAATGGCTGTACATATTGACCATATGCCATATAAATGCTGTATCAACAATGTTCTTTCCATTCAGCGGTGCGAGAAGTGACTGGGGGCAAAACAGAGAGGACTTTTTTTTTTTTTTTTTTTTTTTTAGCACAGGTGACTAAGATTAAGGGGGGATATGATCACCATGTATAATACATAAGTGGGGGATATGATCACCATGTATAATACATAAGTGGGGGATATGATCACCATGTATAATACATAAGTGGGGGATATGATCACCATGTATAATACATAAGTGGGGGATATGATCACCATGTATAATACATAAGGGGGGATATGATCTCCATGTATAATACATAAGGGGGGATATGATCTCCATGTATAATACATAAGGGGGATATGATCTCCATGTATAATACATAAGGGGGATATGATCTCCATGTATAATACATAAGGGGGGATATGATCTCCATGTATAATACATAAGGGGGGATATGATCTCCATGTATAATACATAAGGGGGGATATGATCTCCATGTATAATACATAAGGGGGGATATGATCACCATGTATAAATACATAAGGGGGGATATGATCTCCATGTATAATACATAAGGGGGGATATGATCTCTGTGTATAATACATAAGGGGGATATGATCTCCGTGTATAATACATAAGGGGGGGATATGATCTCCGTGTATAATACATAAGGGGGGGATATGATCTCCATGTATAATACATAAGGGGGGATATGATCTCCATGTATATTACATAAGGGGGGATATGATCTCCATGGATAATACATAAGGGGGGATATGATCTCCATGTATAATACATAAGGGGGGATGTGATCTCCATGTATAATACATAAGGGGGGATGTGATCACCATGTATAATACATAAGGGGGATATGATCTCCATGTATATTACATAAGGGGGGGATATGATCTCCATGTATATTACATAAGGGGGGGATATGATCTCCATGTATAATACATAAGGGGGGATATGATCTCCATGTATAATACATAAGGGGGGATATGATCTCCATGTATAATACATAAGGGGGGATATGATCTCCATGTATAATACATAAGGGGGATATGATCTCCATGTATAATACATAAGGGGGATATGATCTCCATGTATAATACATAAGGGGGGATATGATCTCCATGTATAATACATAAGGGGGAATATGATCTCCATGTATAATACATAAGGGGGGATATGATCTCCATGTATAATACATAAGGGGGGATATGATCTCCATGTATAATACATAAGGGGGGATATGATCTCCATGTATAATACATAAGGGGGGATATGATCTCCATGTATAATACATAAGGGGGGATATGATCTCCATGTATAATACATAAGGGGGGTATGATCTCCATGTATAAACACATCAGTGGTTCATATAGTGAACTCGGTGTAGAGTTGGTCACCCTGAGGTCATCACAGAGGACAAGGGGGCGCTCTTTACGTCTGGAGGAAAAGAAATTTAACCTCCAAACACGGAAAGGTTTCTTCACAGTAAGAGCTGTGAAAATGTGGAATAGACTCCCTCAAGAGTTGGTTGTGGCCAGCTCAGTGGATTGCTTCAAAAAAGTCCTGGCTTCTTTCTTGCATACACAGAATATAACATTTATAGGTAAAGTTGATCCAGGGAATATCCGATTACCTCTCGGGGGATCAGGAAGGAATTTATTTTTCCAGCAGGAGCAAATTGGATCATGTGTTGCTGCGTTTTTTTTGCCTTCCTCTGGATCAACTGTGACTATAGGATTATAACTTTTTTTTTCTATTGTTGAACTGGATGGACTTTTGTCTTTTTTCAGTCAGACTAACTATGTAACTGTGTAAGGTGACAATGAGACTGACTAGGATGTACAGTAAGTGAATGTGTTTAATATTTTGAAGAAGACTTACCTGGGTTTGGGGGAATGTATCCTGGGTTAGCCTCATATGGAGGAGGTCCAGATTCTGGGGGGGCAAAGGGCATGCTGGGCGGATAGGCCCCTGGAGCTTGTCTGTTATCTATAATTAAAGAAAACCAGATTAGTACGTGATGATTATTATTATACAGGATTTATGGTGCCAGTTTGCTCAGTGCTTTACAATATAACAGGAGACAATACAGCAACAACACAGTTCAATACAAGAGGGTTAGGAGGGCCCTGATCCTGGGAGCTTACAATCTAAGAGACGATGCCTGTTGTAAATGGTGGAAGTAGGCACACAGCGACCAACAAAAACCGATTACCTTCCATGCTGGGAGAGCCATGCTTGTCCTCTAATAGTGGGGCTGTGGGACCCCCGGGGTAGGGAGGGGGCGGGTCACTGTTCATGGTGCTATGGATATATCTGAAGATGGAGAAGAACACAAGACAATCAATATCACTCATCACTTGTCTCTAGGTGGATGAAGCACATACTAATCAAAGTAATACAAGGATCCTCTTTCATCAATGTTGAGTTGAAAGGAACTGCAGCCAAAAATGAAAATCACTCTTCTCAAAGTCTAGAACAATAATAAACAAACATCGTGCTATTGTCAGCAGTCATTTGCTAGCACTTTGGAAACTCCGGTTGCTTTTAGCAAGTTAGTTTCAGTGTCAGGCCGACAACGCCATTCAGAGTGAGAATGCCTCCGTGTTGTTGGTGCTTAGTAGCTTCCCTCTCTTCACTGCATAGGCAAGTTGGACACTTCTGTCAATGTGCATGTATACACACCGGATCTGTCAATGTGCATGTACACACACCGGATCTGTCAATGTGCATGTACACACACCGGATCTGTCAATGTGCATGTACACACACCGGATCTGTCAATGTGCATGTACACACACCGGATCTGTCAATGTGCATGTACACACACCGGATCTGTCAATGTTCATGTACACCCACCGGATCTGTCAATGAGCATGTACACACACCGGATCCTACATCTCCTATTCTCCTCCCTGGCTTTACGTCAGCCCCTCTGATTGTCCCTGCCAAACCTATTCAAATGAAGGGAAACGGAATATTGACCGATCCCTACAGCTCCTTCTATCCTTACGTCAGCCCCTCTGATTGTCCCTGCCCAACCCATTCAAAGGAAGGGAGACAGAACATAGACCGATCCCTACAGCTCCTTCTATCCTTACGTCAGCCCCTCTGATTGTCCCTGCCCAACCCATTCAAAGGAAGGGAGACAGAACATAGACCGATCCCTACAGCTCCTTCTATCCTTACGTCAGCCCCTCTGATTGTCCCTGCCCAACCCATTCAAAGGAAGGGAGACAGAACATAGACCGATCCCTACAGCTCCTTCTATCCTTACGTCAGCCCCTCTGATTGTCCCTGCCCAACCCATTCAAAGGAAGGGAGACAGAACATAGACCGATCCCTACAGCTCCTTCTATCCTTACGTCAGCCCCTCTGATTGGCCCTGCCCAACCTATTCAAATGAAGGGAAATGGAACACTGACTGGTCCCTACAGCCTCTTCTATCCTTCCGTCAGCCCCTCTGATTGTCCCTGCCCGACCCATTCAAAGGAAGGGAGACAGAACATAGACCGATCCCTACAGCTCCTTCTATTTATTCTGCTTTTACGTCAGCCCCTCTGATTGTTCCTGTCCATTGCACTGCAAGGAAGGGACACAGAACAGAGACAAACCCCCCCCAACACATATGATGCAGTCTGTCAGTAGCATTGCCACAGCAGTTCTTGTTTTTTATTGACTTCCCCATTACATAGTTGTATTAGCTGTTAATTCTGACAGTAGAGCGGTTATTTTTTTTTCCAGGCACAACTTATTATTATAATCCAGGATTTATATAGCGCCAACAGTTTGCTCAGCGCTTTGATTACACATTGTTGGTATGCCAGCCCATAGCTATCACAGCAAACAGCGCACATTTACACCGTAGGCATGGAAACACAGCCCTGATAGGATCTTGCTAAAGACTTATTTTCAGGCTTTACAATATTTGCTTCTTATTTAAAATCTATTTAGAACTAAAGTTTGCCTTAAAAAAAGTCATAACACTTACCTGTAATGAAGGATGTCCCATATTTTGCAGGCAGCTGGATTCCACAAAAATCTTCACTACAGAGATGCCCTGTCCTCTTCATGGTTCTGAACTTCCAGCACTGCAGTGGTTAACAGCCAGGTCTTAAAGCGGAGCTCAACCCAAAAGGGGAAGTTCTGCTTTAAGAACTGCTCCTGCGCTCCCCATTAAGGATTGGCACCTTTGGGGAGTGGAGGGGGGGGGGGGGGGGGGGGGGAGTGGGTACCCGCTCCCACTTCCGGTCCGAATGCCTAGGGGATCGGAAGGTGTCCTCCCTCCCTGTAGTCTTTTGGGACATGTGACAGGTCCCAGAAAACTACAGGACCATTCATGAAGTGCAGCACTTCTCACCCATGTGCAGTGGGTACCCGGCTGTGAAGCCGCAAGCTGTCACAGCCGGGTGTCCACACTGAAGATGTTGGCCTCCTGGAATACAGGACGGCTGGTGAAACAGACTGCAGGGGACACACCGTGGGACTGAGGGACAGGTAAGTGGCTGTTTTTTAAAAGTCAGCAGCTACAGTTTTTGTAGCTGTTGACTTTTATTTTTTGACAGGGTGAGTGGAACTCCGCTTTAAGACAGCAGTAAAAATGGTCCAACGGGGACCCACTCCCTCCTTCCTCCTCCCCCATTGAGAAAAGTTCTCTCATTGATTACACTACCTGCAACACAATCTGTGAATGGGAGAGAGTTAGATCAGTCACAGGATTCTCCCTACCATTTACAAATCATGTGCAAGCAGTATAATCAATGAAAGAACATTTCTCAATGGAGGAGGAAGGCAGGGATTGTATCACTTTTTATTACTGTTCTGCCTGAAGACTCAAAGCAGTTAACAACTGCAGTGCCAAAAGTTCAGATCAATGAAGAGGACGGGGCATCCCTGCAGTGAAGATTTCCCCAGGATCTAACTGCCTGCACGGCATAGGACATCCATCAAGTGATGCAACTTAAGTTAGAAGCATTTTTTCTATTTAGCTAAACTCAGCTTTTAGAAGTAGAATTCCAGGTTAAAAACTTAAGCCCTTCCCGCCGGCGCCTTCCGGCCCTGTAAGAGTTTCAGAAGCCGGGAGGCAGGGCTTCGGGATCATGTGACCGCTGTGACGCGTCGTCATGGCGGTCACATGATCGGGAAAGGTCCCGATCAAAAGAGCAGACCGGGACCTTTCCATGAGTAACGGACACGTGTAGTGGGAGTGCGCAGGGCGCGCACTCTCAGCACATATGCTTTTTTCTTTCCAAATGTGCGGCCGCTCACCGTCTAGGCCAGGGGTGGGCAAACTTTTTGACTTGAGGGCCGCAATGGGTTCATATATTGGACCCGGGGGGCCGGACCAAGAGTAGATGAATGATGTGTATGTGTCATCCATAGTAAGTATACAGTTGTGTCCAAAATTATTCAACCCCCACTGAAATTGAGTGTTTTGGCCAGTTTGACATTGCTTTTGATCATTCAGTCATCTTGCTTACATTTACATTAAAGAGGCACTTGTAGGTCAGACAAATATAACATAACAGTTATAATGAAATAACCACAAATGTCTTTTCTGTGCTCACAGCATTATCAGTTTTATTCAACCCCCAAGTGACATTCAATCTTAGTACTTAGTACAGCATCCTTTTACAGTTATAACAGCTTTTAAACGTGAAGCATAGCTTGACACAAGTGTCTTGCAGCGATCTACGGGTATCTTCGCCCATTCTTCATGGGCAAAGGCCTCCAGTTCAGTCACATTCTTAGGCTTGCGCACTGCAACTGCTTTCTTTAAGTCCCACCAGAGGTTCTCAATCGGATTTAAGTCTGGTGACTGCGATGGCCACTCCAAAATGTTCCAGCCTTTCCTCTGCAACCATGCTCTAGTGGACTTGGAGGTATGCTTGGGATCATTGTCCTGTTGAAAGGTCCAACGTCTCCCAAGCCTCAGGTGTGTGACGGACTGCATCACGTTTCCATCCAATATCTCCTGGTACTGAAGAGAATTCATGGTACCTTGCACACGCTGAAGCTTCCCTGTACCTGCAGAAGCAAAACAGCCCCAAAGCATGATTGACCCTCCACCATGCTTCACAGTAGGCAAGGTGTTCTTTTCATCATAGGCCTTGTTCTTCCTCCTCCAAACATAGCGTTGATCCATGGGCCCAAACAGTTCTAATTTTGTTTCATCAGTCCACAGAACACTATCCCACAACTTTTGTGGTTTGTCCACATGGCTTTTGGCATACTGCAGTCGACTCTTCTTATTCTTTGGAGACAGCAAGGGGGTACGCCTGGGAGTTCTGGCACGGAGGCCTTCATTACGCAGTGTGCGTCTTATTGTCTGGGCTGAAACTTCTGTACCCACATCTGACAAATCTTTTCTCAGTTCCTCAGCAGTCACACGGGGACTTCTCTCCACTCTACGCTTCAGGTAGCGCACAGCAGTCGAAGTCAGCATCTTCTTTCTGCCACGACCAGGTAGCGTTTCAACAGTGCCTTTGCCTTGAATTTGCGAATGATGCTTCCTAAGGTGTCTCTTGGTATGTTTAACATCTTTGCAATCTTCTTATAGCCATTGCCCTTCCTGTGAAGAGAAATCACCTCTTCTCTTGTCTTCCTGGACCATTCTCTTGCCTTCACCATGTTTGTAACCACACCAGTAAATGTCTAGAAGGAGCTGAGTATCACAGTCATTTTAAAGCTGCCTAATTGGTGCTTATTATGCTTGATTGCTGCTCGGTGACATCCACAGGTGTTTTCAATACCTGATGGAAAGCACCTGTATGAACCTCTGTTCTTCAGAGTGGTAGTCTTTAAGGGGTTGAATAATTGTGGCAATGAAGAAACCACATAAGAACCATTTACTACTGTATTACATAAACAATTGATGTCATTTTAGTTGCATTTGGGTAGTTACAACGTCCTTGTAGGATTTGATTCTGAATACAATTCCAAATGTACACTATAGTCCCTAAACCCCTTTACAGCATTGGGGGTTGAATAATTTTGGACACAACTGTAGTAATATTCCCCCATAGTAAGCATAGTAATTAATCCCTCATAGTAATTCATCCCCCATATAGTAATTCATCCCCCATAGTAATTCATCCCCCCTATAGTAATTCATCCCCCCTATAGTAATTCATCCCCCCTATAGTAATTCATCCCCCATAGTAATTCATCCCCCATATAGTAATTCATCCCCCATATAGTAATTCATCCCCCATATAGTAATTCATCCCCCCTATAGTAATTCATCCCCCATATAGTAATTCATCCCCCTATAGTAATTCATCCCCCATATAGTAATTCATCCCCCATATAGTAATTCATCCCCCATATAGTAATTCATCCCCCATATAGTAATTCATCCCCCCTATAGTAATTCATCCCCCCTATAGTAATTCATCCCCCCTATAGTAATTCATCCCCCCTATAGTAATTCATCCCCCATATAGTAATTCATCCCCCATATAGTAATTCATCCCCCATATAGTAATTCATCCCCCATATAAATTCATCCCTCATATAAATTCATCCCTCATATAAATTCATCCCTCATATAGTAATTCATCCCCCACAGTACTATTCCCCCCCAAGTAGTAAGCCAAGTCCCCCGTGTCAATTCACTTACCTTTGCTCCACGCGTTCCTCTCGCCGTTCCGGTCTTCAGGGCGGACTGTGAGAGGAGCCTAGCTCCCCGCACGTTCGTCACGCTGCCCCGCCTACACACATCCTGACAGCCAATGTATCACGCTCCGCGGGCCGGATTAAAAGGTCCGCCGGGCCGTAGTTTGCCCATTGCTGGTCTAGGCCCAGGCGCCAGGAGGCCGCACATTTGTGTGCGGCCGGCGTGAAGGGGTTAATGATCTTCTTCCCGGGTACAGTCAGGATGCTCTCACTCTCCCATCCAACCTGGGGTGCTCACTACGGGTACTCGGGAATAAGATGACCTAACCAATCTTAAGCCGCCCCCTCCCCTCTTCTAACAACTATGGTGACAAATCTGTGTAAAAAGGATGTATGTACTTACCTGTTTTGAGCCCACTCCAGTCTGGTCACATGATCTGGCTTGTGTCAGCCAGTGGTGACTGCAGGGGAGAGGAGGAAGTGCTAACAACGGGGACATTGGAGCCTATGGGTGATGTCACTGATCCTGGAATTCCCAGTCTTTGCCAAGCTCTGTCTCCTCTCCCCTGCAGCTACTGCTGGCTGACACAGGGGATCACACAGCCAGACCAGAGTGGGATGAAAATAGGCAAGTATACCCACTTAAAATACAAGCCTTTTCTTCAATAAATATTTTTTGATAGAAAATTACTTAGAACCCCCAAAATATATTTTTTTACCAGAGACTCTAGAGAATAAAATGTTGATTGTTGCAATTTTTTATGTCACGGTATTTGCGCAGCGGTTTTTCAAACACAATTTTTTGGAAAGAGTACACTTTAATGAATAAAAAAAAAATATATAACCCAATTCCTTAGTAAAATATGAAAGATTTTGTTACAGTATTTATGCCTTTAAAGTGCACTTTATAAAGAATTTTGAACAGATAAAACACTTTTTTTTTTTTACTTTTTTTTCTGACCTCCGGAACGGATTGTTTTTCAATGCATTCCTATGGGAAACCGTGTTTCGGTTTACAAGTTTTTTGCAATTCGAAAAGTCCCACAGAATGCATTAAATTCATAAATATATATATATATATATATATATATATATATATACACACACACACACACACACACACACGTACTGCGGTTAGCAAGTGGATGTACATCTTTTTTTTTTTTTTTTACAGGAAGAGGGAGGGGACATTTTTAAGGCCAGTTAGGTTTAGGCTGGAATCCTACTTTAATGCGATTCATATCAGACTATCCTGTCCACATGGTGACAACAGCTGTGCAATTTCACTAAAGAATAGAGAGTAGTCATCCTATTACAGGAAACCAACAGATGTTAATGCGAAGGGCCCCTCTTCTTATTGCTTGTAGGGCTTAAAATTTTGAGTCCTGAGCTACTGGCCAGGCCCTAGAGTTACTCGCCACCAACAAACACAAACAGAGACACCTGTACACACACCACACACACACACACACACACACACACACGCGCAGAGACACATGTACATACACACACAGGCACGTACAGACACGCATACACACAGAAATACACACGCACAGACACATGTACATACATACACAGACACATGTACACGCACACACACACACACACACATGTACAGATACACATGTATATACACATGTACAATTGTACATGCATACACAGACACACACAAACACACATGTACACACACACACACCATAAAATGTTGCAGTACTTCGTTGTTCACTCACAGATCAGGGTACTGCACTCTAGGGGGAGCAGAGAGCACAGCACACACTCCTTGCTTTGCATTCACTGCACTCAGCTATTGAGCAGTCTGACGGCTCCCAGTGCCAATGACAGAACCGGCCTGAGCTCCAAGCCTGCTCAGCAAGATAGCCCTGGGGGACACACTTGCCCCCACCATAATTTCCACTTGCCATTGGCGAGCAGGCGAGTGGAAATTTCAAGCCCTGTTGTAAGGCCTGATGTAGTGACGCAGTGATCTCAGGTGTTAGTCTGCATACATTTAAATTAGTCTCCTAGAGAAGGTTACAATTTATTATAGGTATTATTATTATTACAGGTACTTAGCAGTATATAGCACCATCAATGTACACATTACTTTACATATATATTGTACATTCACATCAGTCCCTAACCCTCAAGGGGAATACAATCTAAGGACCATAACTTACATTCATATATACACATACTAGGGACAATTTAGACAGGAACCAATGAACCTACCAGCATGTCTTTGGAGTGTTGGAGGAAACCGGAGTACCCAGAGGAAACCCATGCAAGCACAGGGAGAACATGCAAACTCCAGGCAGGTGGTGCAATGGTTGAGATTCGAACCAATGACCCGAGTACTGCCAGGCGGAAGTGCTAACCATTTAGCCACTACAATTAATGCCCCTATCACAGAGGTAAAAGCAATGACTAACTCATACCATCCCTGACCTGGATCCGCCGCCCCTCCCCCCCTCAAAATCCAATAATAATGTTTCTGCTTCCTCACAGCGGAAATCCCAATTATTTGTTTCACATTCCGGAGAATCTGTCAGCAAATAAGCTGAATTCCCAACTATTTGTAATACATTCTGAAGAATCCTCGGTAAAGCACAGTGCTTGTTTTTTCTCATTCCAGGAGAGACATCAGGAGGTGCTTCTACTCATCAACAACCATGTAAAACTGGCACTGCAATTTTCTTTTTAGCTTCAGGGCTCATGTACACTGCAGGTGATAAACTGACGTTCAGGAGCTGTTCAGCGTTTTTTTCAGCAGCCCCTGAACTCTCCCTAATGTTTTTCTATGTGTCCGTGTACACATCGTCATTTACAGTTGTTTACAGGCAGTTGAGTTTACAGTCGATTTTATCAGCATTTCAAACGCAAATCAAGTTTAGAAGTGTTTGCGTCTGAATTTTTTTTTTTTTTTTTTAACTCTTCCAGTTCCCAATGCTGTCCAGAGCCTTTTTTCATCATGAAAAATGCATGCAAAGCGTTTTCAAGGTGCTCAGATGGACAAAACACTGAACACAGGATGTCACAAGCTTGTCACACATTGTAATGACCAAATTACACCTCAGACCTCTCCCACCCTTGGAAACCAATTCACACCTCAGACCTCTCCCACCCTTGGAAACAAAAGATATGTTAATGACCATTCACACCTCAAATTCCTCAGGAAGACCCCCTGCCAGGTGGCCTTAATGACTCCCTCCACCAGACACCTTTCCCACCCTTGGAAACAATAGAAATGTTAATGGGCAACTCACACCTAAGCCAATCTCAACACATACTGCCGTCTCTGCTTCTACTCTCTGTATTTATCTGTAACAGTCTGAAATAGTTAATAATTTACCACTTTTCAGTGCATTCTGGGCACTTGGGAGGTTCTCCTGAGCTTATCTTGAAAAAAAAGCTTCTAAACGCAAATGCACATAAACGTGTTATGCAAACGCAGCTAAACAGATGTTTTTTAACCTATGTTTTCCAGCAGTCAGTTTCTATCGGTCAGAAGTGTCCCGTGCACATGAGGCCTTACAGTTTATTTGTGGTCGGTGGAAAGAAATGGGGCTCCTAAGGCTACTTTCACACAGAGGAGTATTTGAAGCGTTTTTGCTAAAAAAAAAAAGCACCTGAAAAGCTCAAGAACAATGCTTCCGTATGTATGCGAATGTATATCTATGGATGTGTTCACACTGAGGCGTTGCGCTTGCAGTGTGGTGTAAAAACTCCTGCTTGCAGCATCTTTGGGGCATGTTTGGGGAGTTTAAAAAAAATGCTTCGAAAACGCCTCTTCCCATTGAACTCAATGGAAAACGCATTAAAAACACCTCAAAAAGCCTCTGAGAAGAGTTTTTGGTGCAGCATTTACGGTAAGTCGTGTCCTTTAAAAACGTTCAGAAAGCGTGGCAAAAATGCCTACATGTTTTAGCGGCAGATCGGTGTGAAAGTAGCCTAAAGGAAGCCTCCACAGATGACAGAAGAACCTGCAAACACCTTAGGCTAGGTTTCCAACCCATGGGGTGGGACTGCGCTGGCTGGCTATTCCAGTGCACTCCCAGTGGCAAAATGCCAGTTCACATCACTGCATTGGATCACACAGACCACAAGTGAACGTTAGCAGACGTCTGTGCGACATCTCAATAAAGTTCATTTAGAAAAGGAAAGTTCAGCACATTATCATTGAGTTGATCTTCGGCCCACCGCTCACCAGCCACTGCACTGCAATCCCTAACATGGTGTCCCCTGTGTGACTGCATACAGGCTCCAAGGTCTGTCCACTGAGCTACCATGCTGCCAAATGGCAGCTCTAATTTGATTGGTTGGAAAAAGCAATATGGACAGTCTGCTGTCTTCACGTTTCTACATATCAGTCTAATAGGGTTCCACCACTATAATTACAAATACAGCAACATGGGACATGTAGAGTGTAACTAGAGGGACTAGAATAGTAATATGTGTGTTAATAAGGGAAGGCTCTGGATATACAGAGGCCATTGTTTGGGACTAATATTTGGGCCAAGTGTAACAAAGGTACACAGGATGTTGTGTCACTCCATATATCCCGTACCCCTCCTACTACCAGTCCCAGTGTTTATTATTATCACAGTCCACAACCTGAAAGTCCTGCCAATTATTATGTACACACTTCTCTGTCAACTCCACTTCCAGCATCTCTTTCCATTTCTACAGTCCGTCTAGAATGAAGTCACTTCCCACTGACCACCAATGTAAGGTCCATTCCTTCCACTAACCAACAATACAAGTTCCGATTCTTCCCGACCCCCGAAGTAAGGGGCACTCTTCCCGCTGACCCCCGACGCGAGGGGCACTCTTCCCACAATGACCGCCGACGCGAGGGGCACTCTTCCCACAATGACCGCCGACGCGAGGGGCACTCTTCCCACAATGACCGCCGACGCGAGGGGCACTCTTCCCACAATGACCGCCGACGCGAGGGGCACGCTTCCCACAATGACCGCCGACGCAAGGGGCACGCTTCCCACAATGACCGCCGACGCAAGGGGCACTCTTCCCACAATGACCGCCGACGCAAGGGGCACTCTTCCCACAATGACCGCCGACGCAAGGGGCACTCTTCCCACAATGACCGCCGACGCAAGGGGCACTCTTCCCACAATGACCGCCGACGCAAGGGGCACTCTTCCCACAATGACCGCCGACGCAAGGGGCACTCTTCCCACAATGACCGCCGACGCAAGGGGCACTCTTCCCACAATGACCGCCCACGTAAGGGGCACTCTTCCCACAATGACCGCCGACGCAAGGGGCACTCTTCCCACAATGACCGCCGACGTAAGGGGCACTCTTCCCACAATGACCGCCGACGTAAGGGGCACTCTTCCCACAATGACCGCCGACGTAAGGGGCACTCTTCCCACAATGACCGCCGACGTAAGGGGCACTCTTCCCACAATGACCGCCGACGTAAGGGGCACTCTTCCCCACAATGACCGCCGACGTAAGGGGCACTCTTCCCACAATGACCGCCGACGTAAGGGGCACTCTTCCCACAATGACCGCCGACGTAAGGGGCACTCTTCCCACAATGACCGCCGACGTAAGGGGCACTCTTCCCACAATGACCGCCGACGTAAGGGGCACTCTTCCCACAATGACCGCCGACGTAAGGGGCACTCTTCCCACAATGACCGCCGACGTAAGGGGCACTCTTCCCACAATGACCGCCGACGTAAGGGGCACTCTTCCCACAATGACCGCCGACGTAAGGGGCACTCTTCCCACAATGACCGCCGACGTAAGGGGCACTCTTCCCACAATGACCGCCGACGTAAGGGGCACTCTTCCCACAATGACCGCCGACGTAAGGGGCACTCTTCCCACAATGACCGCCGACGTAAGGGGCACTCTTCCCACAATGACCGCCGACGTAAGGGGCACTCTTCCCACAATGACCGCCGACGTAAGGGGCACTCTTCCCACAATGACCGCCGACGTAAGGGGCACTCTTCCCACAATGACCGCCGACGTAAGGGGCACTCTTCCCACAATGACCGCCAACGTAAGGGGCACTCTTCCCACAATGACCGCCAACGTAAGGGGCACTCTTCCCACAATGACCGCCAACGTAAGGGGCACTCTTCCCACAATGACCGCCAACGTAAGGGGCACTCTTCCCACAATGACCGCCAACGTAAGGGGCACTCTTCCCACAATGACCGCCAACGTAAGGGGCACTCTTCCCACAATGACCGCCAACGTAAGGGGCACTCTTCCCACAATGACCGCCAACGTAAGGGGCACTCTTCCCACAATGACCACCAACGTAAGGAACAGTCTCTCCACAATGACCACCAATGTAAGAGGCATTCTCCACACTGTCCTTGAATTATTTTTAGCAGGAGTTCCCTGAAATCTGAAAACTATTTCAAGGGTTCCCCCGTGGTAAAAGGTTTGAGAAAAACCGGTATGGAGTTAAGTATGCACCATATATCCTAGAGCATCCTGCCCAATCACATTCTTGTGGGAGGTCACATGCCGCCTGAAGCCATCATAAACATCTCACATCTATGACCACTTTCAGGCTTTGTTTCTAAAACAACCAAATCAAGGACACTGCATCAGATTGTTTCTTTCATTCAAACACTTCAGTGTTGAGCAAACAAACTTCAAGTTGGGACCAGCAAAAGCTCGTCTGGGCAGTGTGGTCACAGTGGAAGGGGATGAAAGCCACCAGGGCAGGTTATAAATATCACTCGGTGCTTTTCTACACATACACCCGGGTGACTACCTAGAACACAGACAGGAACTGAGCCAGGGACATTGCTGGAGTGCCACTCTATAGACAGGTGAACTCGGCACTGCACGGCTGCCTACATAACCATCTCCCAGCTATTGGAGTGACTGTAGTTACATATGGATCCAGTCTCACCCCTAGCTGGGAAATCATTGACAGAAAAGTCCTTTACAAGAAGGCCATAAAACAGTCTCACA